CTCTCATCTAGGTATGTATCTGAGCTGTGTAAGACATCAAGAGCCATTTCTAAAGAAAAATTAAAATAGCAGAGATAAATATTCTATTTTAAGGGTATAATCCTGTGAAAACTCTGATTAGTAGATTATGAAATATGAGTAAGATTGAAGTGTGATTGCATGTTGTTTATAATCAGCATAATAAGAAAGCTATAACTATCTTCCACCTACAGGGTAATTCACTAAAGAGAGAATTCAAAGTGAATTGAAAGTAAATTTCAAATTTAAGTCCAAAGTAGCCAAACTTGAAGCATAGCTGACTTAGAGAATGATTCCAGTTTGACTATTTTTACCTTGAAATTTAGATTATCTTTGAATTCTCACTGTAGTTAATTCACCCTTGAAATGGACATGTGAGTAAAGGCAAAAATGAACAAATATCCACCCAATATGTAATCACACTTGTATTTTATGACTCATCTTAAATGGGAAACGTGCCCTAATGTGTTTATAATGTAGTATCTAGAATTGGGTACTTGAAATAGAGATTAATTGTCTAAATACAATGATTACCGGTATCCTATCCTAATAATACCCAAGCAAGTCAGATAATAGTAAATTAATATGCTCTGAGGTAATTCTGCCTCTTGACCTTCATTGGCAGAAAGAGTGAATTGCTAAAATTAAGCTTTCCTTAGATGCTTATAGATGCTTTCTTTAGATTCTGATAAGATTTACCTGTAACCTGGCCACGGTAAATTCCAATCAATATACCAGTATGTGGTTAGATCCCAATCTCCTACTTGGGTTACACATTGAAAACCCATTTCACAAACATTATCTCAAAAGTAGTGCTCAGGATTGTATAGTAAATGAATACCAATCTCAGGTGATGTTCTATATTTATCTGCATAGCAAATACATTTTACTAAACTCAACACTTTTTTATGTGGCATGGTACAAAAGAGTCAGCGGTGGCATAGAATCCACAAGGTATGAAAACAAACAAGATCAGGGAAACCAGTACATGCGTTAAAATATATCTGAACTAAACATAAAGATAAAGTAAAAACAGCTCTGTTAAGAACTCAGCTAGAGTACCTCCTCACTCATTCCCATATTTCTCTGTACTTACTCTTAATATAATAGGTGCAGCAATAGAATCATTAAGGCCCCGGTCTACGTGCATACTACCTGTTGCACTCTTAGAGACCTCTCTGAGGCTGTTACTATGCTCCGTCTATTATTTTCTATATGTGAGATGTATATGTGGGACATATGGTCTGGTTAGTTACTCATAAGGTCCTGGATGGGCTTCCTCAGTATGCTTATTCAGTAAAGTGGTTACAATTGGAAACAGAGCACTACTGAGATTCTATAAGGGGTCGCTGTCTACCTTCCTTACTTGCACTAAATCATCCCACCTATCAGCCCCTCATTCCCCCGTCTAAATATCCTTTGAAGACATGCTATGTAGTGAGCATCAAACCAGTGTCAATAACACAAAACTGCCTGGGTAGTAACTCTGATGGAAAATAAAAGTAACAGAAACAAAGGAAAAAAGATAAACGAATCATAATAGAATAATAAAAGATGCAATGTGTTTAGTGGGCACGTGTCCCTTTAGGGATCCCAAGGATGCCCAGCAGGCAACTGTTTGTCCAGCATTCTGACATGCATGGCAAGTTATGGGGTTGTTACAGACTCGGCCTCCTCTTCACTACTACCCTTATAGAACTTTGCACCCTTTCCTGCAGTTGTTTTTAGCTTTCAGTATTGCACCTGCCTCTGAAGTAGGGGTAGGCAATCTCGGGAGATGGAGAACTTTCAGGAACTCCATGCAGTCTTCCTCTCTTGTCACCACCAGAGAGCCTTTACTCTCTACCTGTATCCGATGCCTTGGTCACTCTATAATTCTTTATTTCACTTTGTTCTTCAGTTTAACAATGGATGGAGGCTGGTGTGAGGACATTTAGTAACTACCCTATATTATACTAGCCCCACCCACCGGCCATGGGTGTTGTCAAAAATTCCCAGATATTTCTGGTCTTACTTTTATATTCACACATCATAAAAATACATATTCTAAAATTATACTATTTAATAATGACAGATTGACTTGAGTGTAATGTAATTTATTCTTTTGAGAAATGTTTTGCTTAATCATTTGATGATGTCTGGTTTTGCAATTAATTATTTTTTGAGGAAATTAAATACATTTGATAAAATTTTTTCTACTTTATTTCTTAAAATTGTAAATCTTTTTTCATACTTTCTTCAGTTTTTATATTTTCCCAAAATATGATTTTCAGATTTTAATGTTTTATAAGTGATGATCAATAATAAATATAAAATATATTTTATTATGCTTATATGTATGTTACAGGGCCTCTATATGTATCATTTATACATAATGTTGTTAAAATTGCAGAAGATGGTGTGGATGATTGCAGCAATAACAGACACCATTCCTGCTCAATGATCTTAAAGCAATGTAACAGGGAGAGTAAGGGGCAATTACAATTTTGTTGATTCGATAAATAAAGGTCTATTCAAATTATCTATATGTTTATATATTTAATGTATCCCTGCTACCAATTTGAACAGCCAGTGGACAGGGTAGGTTACACCAAAAATTTAGGCAGTAGAAAATGATAGAATCTGTCCCTGAACTTACCAATATGGCACTTGGTAATCATGGGCATGTCTGTACTTAGCATTTATAGTTCCCACATACGTTTCATGTAACCCATCTCATGGGGTCTGCTTTTATTATTAATTGCAGTTGAGCAGGTCTAGGTACTCACTCTATGTCCTTGAACAGTTTGTTCCAGTATCTCACTTGTCATCAGATTGCCTTTGTTTCCTAGCATCAATCATGGACCTTGTTCTGGGCAATGTCCGAGCTGGCATGGCTCTCTTGATTCATGTTAATCTCATATTTTGAATTAGTTGAATATATTATTAGATGTCTTGCCCAGGGCACTTATTGGTGAGGGGTTCTGAACCTTAAGACTACTCAAATGAGAATGAGGAATAAGGAAAGTAAAAAAAAAAAAAAAATACCAACCAAAAATGGAGAGAAAGTGTAATATATATTCCAAGCAAAAGCAAATTTATGTAAAAAGTTTATCATGTGCCAAACTGGTCAGTTCAGAGGCAGATAGATTCTGACATTTTCTACTATTAGTATATTTACTTTTAGAAGACAGCTTAGACCAACATAACATGAGATTTATCTGCAGATGTTCCTTCAAGAGACAGTTGATGATTGGTCTGTGTTAGTGGAATTGAATAAATTAGTTTATAAAACATGTGGGAGAAGAGGAGTATATTATGTGCTGAGATTATTCTTCACCTATTAGTGAATGCATGAATGCTAAAAAGAGACACTAATCTGTTTTGAAGGATATGTAAATTCTCTTTATGAGCACTGGCTCAGAGATGTTGAAAAATATCAGATTCTAATTAACACTTGTTATACAGCTTGCTCTATCATTCAGTTATAGCATAACTACTTACAGTTTTTATTTAGGGAATACGCAATTAATATATGAACATTTAAAACATGGCTTGTAATATACAATTTTTTAATTTTAAGCTTTTCCTTTTATTTCCCTGGAGTATTAACACACATTATATATCAAGTAAGATATAAGAATGGCTTATATGTATTTTTAATTTTAGAGGGAATAATTAAACTGACTTTAAAGTATGTCTGTCATGCAAACATGACAGGATATTGTGTGCTCCTGGAATAAAACATATTATAAAATATGTATTTAAAGACTTGTAAGAGCCAGAAGAACATGATGAGCTTGTTGGTTATTTTTTCTAAAATAAATGTATTTAAATAGTGCTATTGCAATCTATATCATCCTCTGTAAAACCAACAGCGAAACGATAAGGATCATCCACTTGTCCGATCTTCCTGACCATAGAATTGGTAGGATCAGGGACAACCAGTCCATAGGTCCCAGTAGGACCATGGCTTCAGGCAGCAAATTGACAGAGACAGTATTTTGCAGCCCCTGTCATAATCTAAGAGCAGCTGGGGAAAAGCCCTCTTTTTCCCCGATCAGCACCTCCAAGTCAATCATAGTTAGTCATACCATAGAGCAGGCATAGGCAACCTTCGTCACTCCAGATGTTTTTAACTACACCTCTCATGATGCTTTGCCAGAATTATGGGTGTAAGAGCATTATGGGGAGGTAGTCCACAACAACGGAAGTGTCGAAGGTTGCCTAGCCCTGACATAGATCATACATTAGGCTGAGTGAGGCTTTATAGACTAGATTTCATTATGCAAAGTGCAAAAAAGTAAAAACATTTATACTTGATCTTGGAAGTACAAAGGTTAAAGAAACACACCAAGCAAAATAATCAATGCTCTTGAATAAGTTATGGTGCAAGTGCTCCCTGATTTTAGTTTTATCTCCTAATCCATTCTTTAATATATTTAATTTATTTTTGTGGTTTTGCAATGATATAAAAGATGTGCGAAATGTCAGTATAGAGTGTCTCTTCAATGTAAAGAGTCAAGCAAGAAGATATTAAATATCTGATTCAATTTACTGCTTAATGCAAGTAAAATTAGATCTAATAAACCCATTTTTAAAAATCTAATTTGCTTCAGTGCTTAATTTTACCATGTTGTGAAACACATGTTTCTACCAGAGCTCCATTCTCTCTATCTTCTCTGCAGATAGACTCTAGATGGCAGCCTCTCATTCCTCTCACACAATGCAGGAAGCTTTGCAAGTCAATCTTCACTATACATTCTATTACCCAAGAAGGGAAGCAGGAATGAGGTTCTGCATACATTAAAAGGAAACAACAGGACATATTTGTAGATTGCTTTAACACTTTTTATAATGCCCTATAACAGTGCTCCTCAACCCTCTCCTCAAGGCACACCTAACAGTCCAAAATTTAAAGGGCCACTATAGTGCCAGGAAAACATACTCGTTTTCCTGGCACTATAGTGCCCTGAGGGTGCCCCCACCCTCAGGGATCCCATCCCGCCCGGCTCTGGAAAGGGGAAAGGGGTTAAATCTTACCTTTTTCCAGCGCTGGGCGGGGAGCTCTCCTCCTCTGATCCTCCTCTTCTCCTCCCCGTCGACTGAATGCGCACGCGCGGCAAGAGCTGCGCGCGCATTCAGCCGGTCACATAGGAAAGCATTCATAATCACAGTGAGAAGCACGCAAGCGCCTCTAGCAGCTGTCAATATCACAGCCACTAGAGGAAATAGGGGAAGGCTTAACCCATTCATAAACATAGCAGTTTCTCTGAAACTGCTATGTTTATGAAAAAATGGGTTAACCCTAGCTGGACCTGGCACCCAGACCACTTCATTAAGCTGAAGTGGTCTGGGTGCCTAGAGTGGTCCTTTAAGGATTACCCACGTGTGTCTAATGTGTTTGAAAAAAACTAAAAACACCAGCAACACTAAAGGTGTTTTTTTTTCTAAACACTTTAGACACACGTGGATAATCCTTACATTTTGGACTGTTAGGTGTGCCTTGAGGAGAGGGTTGAGGAGCACTTCCTTATAATACAGGTGCTTGGTGTAACTGTACTTACTAAATATTCTGTCCACATGCATATATTATTTTACATGTGATTTTTATATTGTGTTCCTTATAAATAGACATGTGCATGCTGTTTGGCTATTTTTTGTTTATTTTTTTATCACCTACTGACAAAATAGTACACATACTTCTACAGTAATATGACAGAAAATATTAAAATATATGGGGGAGGACATGCAAGTTTTACATTTTATCTCCCCAAAAATGTAGCCAATAATGAATTAATGAATAAGTATAGAATAATTCTGTAAATTTATTTAATTTCATTTTTTTAGTATCGCTCAGCAATTATATATTCAATTGCTATTATATCCTTTGCTTACATGCTAGCTATTCCTTTCATATTTCCAATAAATATTATGAGTTTTGTTTTAATAAGTTGATAGCGAAGGTGATAAAAGTCATCTTAACTTGTGAAATTGTAACATTTCTGAAATATGTTGCAAGTATTTTTGCTGATTTCCAAAGTTATTTCTTGGCTACCACAATCCTTTCTTGGATCAAGATAAAGATAAAAAATTGTAACTCTGAGCATTGAAAGTAAAACGTAGACAATGAATTAATTACATTTTGTTGAAGTGAAATACATTATTTCCAACAGACAATTTTAATCTTTGGATTTCAGATAGTTGAAGGTGTTTTTTTTTTTATGTAAGCATTATGTTTGCTCGCTGAATTTCTACATTATAGAAGTGACAGAATAAACATGTGACATATAATTTTACATGATCTCAATTCACGTCACAGATGGCAGATCCAAGAAAAAAAATCAAAAAGTGTTAACCACATCGCTGTTTTGTAAATGTCATCCTTACTTTTTTTTTTTACACGATGATAAGTATTTCATCCATTCTATGTGCTTGACCTGAATGAAGAATTAATTGCATTAATAACAACATTCTTTTGAATGGTTGCTACTGCAACATTTAGCATCTCCCATCCTCATTAGTGTTTTTATTTTCTGATTTGTTGCCATGTTCTGAGACAGGTCTGTGCAGGGAGTAGTAAAATAAAAAAGATGAAAGAAAAAGTGTTGAAACAAGCCTGAAGGTACTAAATTCTTGACATCAGCTAATAAAACACTAAGGTTTAGAACGTGATGGCTGTGAGTTGTTAACAGAAAGGGCTATTTTAAAAAATACAGACAGAAAAATAAGAACTTGCAAGAAAATAACCTTCTACTTTGTTGACTCTTCTGAAACACAGTCATTATTTAAAAACTGAGATTTAATAGCCGTGTGAGTGACAGACAAGTGAGTAAAACATTTGTAAGTGATTAATTATCAACTCCCAGCTCTGAAGCTAAGTTAGATTTCCAAGGGACCTTTTATAATTTCGAGCTTAGAGCAGATATAAAATTCACTATGTTAGTACAAATCACAAAAAAAATATTGATTTACTGGTGAAAGGGGAATAACACATTCTATAGTACACTGATAATAGGTTCTGGTTCAGTGAATATTCCGCATATTAGAGACTGTTCTGTAATTTAATAAAATTCAATAATTTCTTCAGGATGTGGGATGGAGGGGCAGAAAATAAATGTTATTTTCTGGGAACTATGACCCCAAATCTCTCTTTTTTTAAACTTAAAACCATTATAAAAAGCTAATTATGCTGTTCTAAACACTATATATTACTTCATCTTAGCCCCTATAACAATAAAAAAAAAAATAATTTATAACAACATTTTACTGCTTTTTTATGTTGTAGTGATAGTAGGGATTAGAGTTATTATATTTTGGAATTCAAAAGAGAATAATGAAATGGATGAAAGACAGATGATGATGTATTTTTACTTAAGAGATATTATGAAGTGTTGATAACTAGTATTCAAAGTTTAAGCCAAAGTAGTTGAAGGTCAAAATACATCTCTAACAAGTTAAATATTTATATAGGTCAATAATTTAGGCCTCGATTTTACTATTTTTGCACACTATTTTCAAATGATTAATTATTTTTGGATAAACTTTTAAAATTGTTATTTCAAAATAATAAAATATATAGAAAATATATATACAAATATATCAAAATATTATAATGTTTTTCAATATAATTTTTTTTTTTTAAACGTTAAGCCAAAACTATTAAATCATCTGGAAGGCTTAACCAAAAATATTAAATTGAGGCATTAGTTAACAGACAGGCAAATATATAATTTGAACCTGTATATATATATTTCACTAACTGTATTTGTAACTTTGTCAAAAGCAAATACATGGAGATACCTAGGGGCATTTCTAGGGTAACAGACATTGGGGACCCCACCCTTTTCTAAAGCCCCACCCCTGACCCTCTCTAAATCCTGGCCCTCCCAAATTCCATCTCTTAACACACACAGAGACTAGGCACAACCAATTACTCACATTTACCTAAAGGGATCATTCATCCACTATAATAAGATACTTTGACCTGATGGACAGGAGGTAGGGATTTGTCAATATGTCATAGAAGTACATTTTTTTGCTGTACTATTGTACTATATTTTTCCTGTTCTTCGTTGTAAACACACAACACATTTTATAAAATAATATTTTTTTCTTATACAAAATTTCCTTTAATGGCAAGATGTTTTTTTTGTAACGTGAGATCAACAATTTTAGTATAATGTAAGTGGGAAATTTTGTGCAATTTGTCCTTTATTGATATTTCCATCAAGATATCACAAAACCTAATTGCTAGGGTCAATAATCTCATTAGCTCCTTCAGGAATTAGCTGATATTAAATAGTACATGTTTTTACAGATTTATGAAAGAGATATGTACACCCACACAGTTCTAGATGCTGAAAGGGATTCTACAGTGTTATGAATACAAATCCGGACTCCTAACACTATAGAGCCCTCTGGTCCCACCCTTTCTTGCGCCCACCCCTGGCAGCTAAAAGGTTAAACAAACTATTTAGTGACTTACCCTATTCCAGCACCAATGTCCCTTGGCACTGGGTCAGCATTCCTCCTCCTCCTACATCATCCAACAGGGGAGTGTGGCTAATGCACATGCTTGTTGAGTTCCACCACCACATTACACACTCCATATAGGAAACTATTGCTGAAATACTTTCGACGAGGGTTTTACTGACACACAATGTCCTCATGTAGAGCATGAGAACGTCCAGAGTCAGGTGATCAAAAGTCGGTCAGCAAGCAGGAAGTGCCTCTAAAGGCAGTTTTAGTCCTGCAATGTCATTTATTACAGTTTCTAAAAAACAGCAATGATTTACATTGCAGGACTAAGTGGGCCAGTGACATCACACCCAGACCACTTCAATTAGATGAAGTGGTCTGGATGCCTATAGCATCCCTTTACAAATTATGGATGAGGGTTAACATCTTCATCATGTCTTATTCATGAATTTATTCTTCTGAGCAGAGAAAATGTTCAAATATAACACTAATATTTTTTTCTATATATCCTAATGCAAAATTAAAAAAATAAAATGCTGTTTGCACAACAATATAGACAGCTTGAATTTCCACAGCTCTCCCAAAATGCCACCTAAACTTCAAAAAAACAGGCAGGTAGAATCCTCTGGTTACAACACTTTACTTCACCTCCTGAGAAGAACTCAGGAAAGCCTAATTGTCTAGCATTGCAATATATTTTGAAGTAAGTGTGTTTTTTATGAAATATCTTTTGCCCTCTTTATTACAGGCCTACCCGTACTTTGGTTTCAGCACACCACTACCAACTTTCCCCCCCTCTTCTCTATTTTCATATATGAGTTAAGTTCCGACTACAAGTAAAAGGCCATAGGCCTAAATTTGTGGGAGGAGTTTTCCCTTTAAAAGCTATACCCCCCCCTGCTTACCAATGCTGGTTCCTGTAAGAGTAACCCCTCCCACCACTCCCTCTAATAAATTTACTATCATCATTACATTACCTCTGGTGGGCCCTCTTTATTACAGGCCTACCCGTACGTTGGTTTCGGCACACCACTACCAACTTCCCCCCCTCTTCTCTATTTTCATATATGAATTAAGTTCCGACTATAAATATAAATATAAATATATATATATATATATATATATATATATATATATGTATGTATATATGTATATTTGACTACTTGATTCCTGCTTATCTAAAAGGGAGGTAGTATGGTCCTTAATGATATACTATGTTTTCCATTGAGCCTTTTCCAGGCTCTTGTCTTGTGAATAACAAGTTGACTGCATTTTAGACTATTCTTTTGATATACGGTACTACCCTATGTATAGTCATCTTTGAGTTATCTCACAGGGGTTATACAGTCTATACCAGTGGTCCACAGCCCAGTCCTCATGGACCACTGACAGTCCAGGTTTTGTCAGTATCCTCATTCAAATAAAAAAGGGAAATACATACATTCTGGACTGTTGGTGGTCCATGAGGACTGGGTTGGGGAATACTGGTTTATATAGACTCCACTGCTATTCAAACCAGAGCTAGGTCTTTAAAGCTCTGAATTTTGTCAATGTTCCTTTGTCATTCAATCACATATCACATTTGTGTAAGGTTTTACACTATTTTGCTGTGTGATAGCAGTTTTGATTCATACATATTCATGGTTTCATTATATAGCACTTGTACAAATTTTCTGTTTTGTGTATTTAAAATATATGTTAACTTACAGCAAAACTATTCTATTTTTTTTTTTTAACAATTATGCAC